ACCCGTATGTTGGGAGTAGTAGTGGAAGGAGTCCTGGATTGATATAGTTCTTTGTGAAAATCCTTTGCAACTTCCAACATATGTTTGCTGCCCGTATGTGTTGCCTGCTGCCCCGTAGATTCCCTTAAGCGTTCTATTGAATTGGATCTGTCGTTGGCTTTTATTCTAGCAAAGAAGTGCTTAGACATTTGTTCATTTAGCTTGGATTCTGTCATCATGGCTCTGATTTGGAATCCCTTAAGCTCCCACTAATGCCATACGGCTAGTTCTTCCCTTGCCTTCTCGTCGATCTCTGCGTACATGGAGGAGGAGGGGTTGGTCGCCAGATTGCTTTCCGCTATTTTAGGAGCTGTTTCAAGCATCTGTTTTCTTTGCTTTCTGTCGTTGGCCATTTTCCTTGATATCTTATCTGTGAAACGGTTTTCACCTTTACGGTAGCAGATGCTGTTCCCAGGGCTTGATCCCTAGACCTCGTCCTTACCTGTGTACAGTATCAGTGCCCTGTGTGTGTTTGAACCCGCGACCTGTGTCTTGATAGTCGCCTGCGATCTGTTGTAGCCTAGAGCGGTCGTCGGGTCTTGATCCGTAGGTCTGTCCAGTAGGAGTCTTAACTGAGTAGGGGTCATATCCGCTGTAGTTTTGAAAGGTCAAAGTCATAGCTGCTACAGTCCGGAAAGGTCAAGTCCACAGACTTCCGGAAGGTCCGGAAGTGACCTTTCCTAGGGTCCTAAGAGTCAGCCTAGGGGCAATGGGCAAATTGGCAGTCCAACTTCGCTTAGTCAGCGGTACCCAGTCCTGGTCGCACTTTGTCAAGTCAGCAAGTGCCATGTGGGACTGTGTGCACCCCGGGCCCAGGGTCCAAGGGCAGACCATTGACAATCCGAAGTATAAATCAGGAGGCAGCGTCAAGTCATAATTCATTCTGCCTGTGAGCCATGCAGAAGCGCTGCCTGAGCGTCTTGTGCAAGGAGGTCTGCAGGTGCCCGAGGGACAGAGATGAGCATTTTGTTTTTGAATTGGCACTTCACCCAACCCGCCCACATTCTTTTAAGTACAGCCCGCCCTCAAAAAAAAAATAAAAAAAAATTCTCAAGGTGACCCAACCCACCCAAGTGTTTTTTTGAAACTTTCCTCCCACACCCAACCTGCCCGTCACCCGTACACCCTGACCCACCGACACGCGCGAGAACGAAATTACCCGCCCGCACCCGGTACCTAATTATTTTCAACCTGCACCCGCCCATTCCCCATTGTCTCGGTTCCTTACGAACATTTACATGCACCACAGCAACATGACATCCTTGGATGACGGCGCCAAAATTCGAAGCATCTCCACTTTGGGTCGTCCTTGGATGAATGCGCGAAAATTCGAAGCGCTCCACAAGTTTGAAATTGCGAAGCTAACCTTGCCCCTTGTTGTGGTTAGGTTCGATCCCCGTTGTTTTAATGGGAGCAAACATCCCGTTGTTTGGGCTGTGGTCCAGCTGCCACTGGCGCACCGGTAGAGCGTGTCAATTTTTTTCAAGGAGGATCCCAAAGTCCGATTTGCCATTGGCGCCACTCTTTTTTTTTTCGAGGACGACAACTTTTTTTTTCCAGGGGGCCCTAGAGTGGAGACTTTCGGTCTCCTGGGCCGTGGACCGCAACTGGGAAATATGTATTAGGGGCATGGGGTTGGGGGGGAGGGCTCTTATGGGTTGTCCTTGGGTCTGTGGGTCGGGTGACCGAGGCCTAGTGCTCACCCGCCTATCACCCACCCATTCCGGTGACCCAGGCCTAACATTGACCAACCCGTCACCCACCCAGGCTGGCTTGCCTAGACCCACCCTCATCCCACCCGTGCCAGCTTATCAAGACCCACACCTGACCCAATGCCTTGTGGGTGGGGTGGGTGCGGGTGGGTGTGGGTCTGGGTACCCGTTGCTCATCTCTGCCGAGGGAGAAGAGGGCTAAGAGGAAGAAGATCGGCCATAGCCAAGGTGTTAGTGGTAGGAGGAAGACAGCGGTCATAGCCGCCACGTCAGCATGTCAGTAGGTATTAGGATGTGAGAGAGTTGGGGTGTGTGTGTCTGTCGGGACATCCACGGAGATCCACCGTGTCTGTGTATGAACAAGTTGCTGAGTGTGGCAGCGTGGGCCATAGCTGGCCAGGATGAGTTTGAATCTGAGTTGCGTTCTTGGCTTCATTATCGCTGAGCTTTGTGTGGGCGCTAGTCGCCAGTTTGACCATCATCTGTTTGTACGCATGCTGAAAGTTTAAGAAGATGAGTCTGGTTGCATTGGTATCGGAGCTGGTTCCCGCTGTTCCGCCATCACGCCATCGCCGTTGTCGTCGTCTTCGTGGGAGGTGTGCCACGTCATTAGCTGCGTTGTCGAGAGGAGAAGGGAGGCGCCACGTCAGCATCATCGAAGAGAGAGAGGGGGCAACCCGTTGTCGAGCGCGCCCCTTTTCGTTGCGCGCTTTGCTGTGCTGCGCGCTGCTTGGTTGTTCCTTGTTGCTTGATTGTTCCGCGCTGCTTGTTTTCCAGTGCGCTGCCCGCTACTGCACGTGCGCCTCGTTATTTGCTGTTGTGCGCGCCTCGACGTTTCCCGCTCGTGGTCACTACCGCTACGCGTTGCGCGATAGCCCGCGCTGCCTGCTACGCATTGCGCGCCAAAGTTCCCCGCTGCGCGCCAGCGTTTCGAATTGCGTGCAAGATCACACGTGTATTCACTCGCCCTCCGTTTCGCGAACCGCTATTGCTGATTGCCACGTGCACTCCCCGCTATTGCGTACACTGTTGTTCGTCACGCACACATCATCGTACGCTGCACTGTTGCCGACTTACCGGGCGCAGTTAGCAGGAGGATTGCCGACGTCGAAGGGAGAGCCGTCGCCCGGGAGAAAGGAAGTCCGCCTGCTATGAAGTAAGGGAGAAGGGCGCTGTCCCATTAGGAAGAAGAACTTGCCGTGTCGGTGAGGAGAGCCGCTGCGCCACGAAGTTGAAGAGCAGTTATACCTGTTGAGACAGCAAGGAGGAAACAACGACGACGAACGAGAGAGAGAGAGAGAGAGAGAGAGAGAGAGAGAGAGAGAGAGAGAGAGAGAGAGAGAGAGAGAGAGAGAGAGAGAGAGAGAGAGAGAGAGAGAGAGAGAGAGAGAGAGAGAGAGAGAGAGAGAGAGAGAGAGAGAGAGAGAGAGAGAGAGAGAGAGAGAGAGAGAGAGGGAATTGAGCGCATATAGATTAGTTGTTGCAGCCGAAGAAGGAAGGTGCCGGCCATAGCTGCAGGGTTCAGACATGGGAAAGGAGAACCGTGTGGGAAGACGAAGTGACAAAGAAGGAGAGAGAGGAAGTAAGGAGGAAGGAGAGACGAAGGGGGAGAAAGAAGCCATAGCCAAGGAGGGGCGAGAAGAAGAGAGAACCGGGGAAGAGAGAGAAGACATTGGCGAAGAGAGAGGAGGTCGGAAGCCATAGTCGGGGTCAAGAGAGTTGACCCGCGACCTTTGACCGAAAGTTGACCAAGTTGACCGGCGTGAAGGCCGTTGACCACGAACTTGACCAAGTTGGAGTTGGTACAATCTCGCCAAGCCTTCAGCCTATCCCCTTGCCCTATGGATGTGCACTCACCCCTTGGTACTTGTTGAGTTTGTCTGTCTCTTCTTTCTGCATTGAGTCACTTTTGTCCAGGTGATAGGACTCTGTGAATGTGGTTGTAGAGCTGTGTTGACCAAACCCACACGAACTGAGTAGGGCTTAGCTACCATGTCTGACGACTGACACGTCCCGGAGGCCTAACCCTCCCAAGGACGGGTACAGACCGGCTGGCTGCTCAGTGTGGCATGGTTGGCCCAAAATCCGAGTTGTGGGCTGCACAACCAGTTATCTAAGTGTTGAGAGGACTGTGCTGATCACATCGTCCTGTTTGCAACGTTAGAGAATTCCTGAGGAGTTACGGGGGATCTCCTTAAATGCCTCCTGATCAGCAGTGAAGTCCTGCAGTGACAGCCTTAGCAGTAGGTCTAGGCTAGAGACCATAGTTGACAGGATCCCGTAAGGATTTTGTGGTCCTTAGAAGAGTCAGTCAGTCAATCAGCGGGTAGGTCTACGTGGTGAGGAGTGGAACAGTCACTTGTTGTGCACCGTTCACCATGGATGACTATCCGATGTACGGCTTGCTCGTGGAGCTCTCCTTGTGGGGGACCCTTTGGCGTCTCCTGTTCCCATTAGGCTTCTGGCACACGTCCACGTGTAGAGTTGAGACGAGGGGTGGTACAAGGACCACTCCTTATCCAAAGGAGCAAGAGCAGGAGACCGCGACGATATTGGCTGAGCAGAAGGCCAGGAGAGAAAAAAAAGAGTTGCAGAAGAAGACGTAGAAGTTGGCACTCCCGGAAGAGAAAGCTAAAAAGGAAAAAGAATTGGAGGAGGAATTGAAGAGGCTGCGGAAGGAGAAGGAAGAAGTTGCAGCCTCAGTTGATGAAGAAGAAGAAGAAGACGAAGAAGAAGAGATTTCCCTGGAAAGAAATGTGAGGAGAGAAGAAAGAGGGGAGTCAAGTGGCGCGAAGGAGGTAGACAAAAGGCTGGAGAAGATGGTGACAGAGTGGGTTGCCAACTTATCGCTCGGGGAAGAAGAAAAAGCGATGTTGTATGTTCCCCAGCAAGAGAAAAAAGCGGTAATAAAGGAGATACAGGCGGAAAAGGATCCCCTGTAGCGTCAAGCGTTAGAGAATGAAAAGAAGATGGAGTGGAAGTGGTGCCTCACAAGGGAAAGGAGGAGATGAGTAGAGGCGGCATCTGAGATAGAGAAGGAGTATGAAGCAGCAAGGGAGCAACATGCGCGGCTGGCAGTTGAAATAGACCTCCAAAACAAAGTGGAGATCATAGGCAAAAATGCGGAGGTAATGTTGAGGCCACAGCAAGAACAAATGCGTCACCTGAGGGGCCACGATATCGCATTGCAGTCCATACACATTGGATTTATGGATTTTGCACATGATATGGTGTTGCGTGTGGGCACAGAAGTACAAGCGAGATTAGACAACACAAAGAAGTTCTGCACAAAGGCCATAGAAGATGCTAAGGTAGTGGCCCCAGAGGAGGAGGAAGCACGCCCGCGTAGGGAACGCGTGAAGGTGAAGTTCCCTGATTCCTACAATGGGAAGAAGGGAGAGAACTTTGATAACTGGGAGGCAAACATAAATTCTTATGTGCACCTCCGTGATACCATCCCCAAGGAACGAGTCCTCATGACCTTCCATGCCCTCAAAGATGAGGCATCGAGCTTCACTAGATCATTAGCCCGCGCCACCAAGTGTGATAATGACATGGTAGTATATTCCATGATCACACCCCTAAGTGAATTTCTCAAAGCCCTTCGCGAGCGATTTGACAAATGTCACTAAGGGCCTCAAGGCCTCTGACAAACTGCAAACAATCCACTCTCGACCACGGAAGAGTGTCAGGGCACTCAAAGGCGCCATGGACGAACTTGTCGCCCTTCCTGACACATGGGGTTACTGAGCCCCAACTGGTCCAGTTGTTCTTTCGTGCCATGCCCGAAAGTATGCACGGGCACTTCTTTGACAAGAAGCAACAACCGAATACGACGTATGATCAGCTGAGTAGAGAAGTTGTTGCTTATGAGGTCCACTCCACGCCAATTACCACTTTCTGGCACAAGGACCTCGATAAAAGGAAAAAGTGGAGGCGAGGTCAGGGCCAAGGACCATCTGATCCTTACATTAGATGAAGGTGGTATGGAAAAGGTCCCACATAGTGAGATAGAGTGGGGCCTCGATGAGGAGGACAATAATACTGGCCAGGGGAGTTCCTATGTTGCTGTCGTGGCTGGAGGGAGGCCGTAAGGTAGAGGAAGGGGCCAAGGCCAAAGGGGCCAGGCCTCTGGTGGTCGAGGACAGGGCGGTCAGGGGGTTGGTGGTAGAGGTAACCGCCAAGCGAGAGGAAGGGGTCAATGTCGGCCGCAAAACCGTCCGCGATCTAATCGATCACCTCCCAGGAAGGGTGAATGGCAACCTGGTTTGCCCCAGGGCAGACCTTGGGAATCGCTGGGCATGGAACACACTGTTTGGTAGAGGAGAATAGATGATGGTCAGTGCATTTACTGCGGTGACCCGGGGCACATCATCAAATATTGCCCCAAGTATAGAGATGCCTGGCGAGCTGCTGCAGAGGCAGCAAAAGGCCCTTACCCCTAGGCCATGTGGAGAAGAGTGCGCTTGCCACAAAGAAACTCCAAACCCACATGAGCCCATGGCAAAGGTTGCTGGCCAGCGCCTAGTTAGTTGTCCAAGGAGTGCTTGTGTTAGAGTCTCTCCATGGAAATAAAAAACAGTAATGAGAATTACCTATTATATATCTCCATAATGCCAGCCTAGGCCAAGATGAAAAAGGATGGAAAACGAGTCTGGTTGCAGCTATGTAATGACCCGCCAAAACACAGACTGAGAACACTGCTGATTTCTGGGATTTGCCGCTGGAATGTATGCCTTGCTGAGATTCCCGCATTCTGCTGTGATTTCTAAGTCTGTGTGTGTGTGTGCCTGCTGGTCTGCGTGCCTGTCTGAGTGCTTGTCGGCCTCAGTGTGTGTGTGACCCGCAAGGGTACTTGTTGGTTGAAAGGCCCCGCAAGGCCAGTACTTGCCTGTGGCCATGACTTTGAAGGTTGCAGCGGGGAAAACACTCAAGTAGCGGGGGTAGGCCCACGACACTTAGAGCAGCGGGAAAAACACTCAGTAGCAGGTAGGCAGGTACCACTCAAGTAGTGGTAGAAGTGTCGGGTACTGGAGGCCGAGCAGAAGAAGACAAAAGTTGGCCTTTTTTAGAGGCCCAGTAGCGGTAGGTTAGAGGTAGGCTGGTACCGGTCCAAGTAGCCTGAGTCTAGGGCCTGTCCGGACGATATCAGAGCCTGCAATGATGTTTCCCTCCGAAAGGGAGGAGGTACCGGTTGCTGGGAGGCCGCTCGGCCTAGGAAGGCACCGCCCAAGAGGCCAGTAGGCCGCTATATCTTCGGGAGGAGCAAACAGCTCCTCCTCATTTGCGGTGTGCAAGGATTGGCGACATACTGCTGGAGCCAAGCGCTGGACTTGGGAGCGCTGCCTGGACAAGGAGAGCAGCGGGGCGCTCAGCCTGGCTATGGTGAGCAGACCAACCTGAGGAGGAGGAAGAAGGGGGCGAAGGAGGAGTGTGGCGAGGTACCTACCTGGCTATGGTGGACACCATCTAAATCACCTTGATCGGCGCTGCATCTGGAAGGCCCCAGTTGGGGTAGTGCCACACCAAAGGAGCTCGAGGCAGAGTCAGGCATGGCGGCTTAGTGAGCAGCGGCATAGCTGCTTTGTGTTGTCCTTTGGACAAGAGTGAAGTGCCATAGCTGCTTTGGGTTATCCTTTGGACAGGAGGGCAGGGCCCTTAGTAGTCCGCCATAGTGTAGGCATGTGAGAGGAGGAAGAAGGGGGAAGCCATGTCTATGGTGGACCTGTTGTTGTGTCAGCAGTAAGAGGGAACTTCAGATATTGATTTTGTTTCATCCACTCATTGCTATCATTATTATTGGAAGAAGAATAAGAATGGGGAAGTGGAGGAGGAGGAAGGTGGAGAGAGAATGGGGGATTTGTCATTGGTCTTGCTGGCGTACATCTTTTTTTTTTCTTCTTCTTCTTCTTCTTCTTCTTTCTCTCTTCCGGCCTCTATCTCTTTGCAAGTGCTTTCATTTCTTTCGCAATTGGGTGGCATTGTCTTTCTTTGTGAATTTGCACTTTGAAAGTGACCAGGATCGTAACAATTGGTATCGGAGCGGACTTACTTGTTGGCGAGAGGTGTTCATCACTCTAACCCTCATTCCGAATTAGGTTAAGGCTAACGTAATCCCGGATTAGGGTTGGAGGTTAGGGTTAAGCGGGGCAGTGAGGTATGTGGATGCTGCCCTCACCTGGTTAGGTCATATAGGGTCGACATCAGACCTGACCAGGTTGCTTGAGTGATTGAATGGGGTGGCGAGCCACAAAGGAGGCTGATTGGAGTAAGCGAGAGGGAGTAGAGAGTGAGAAGTACTCGCACCTGGAATCTGGACTTTAAGAAGACATTGAGTGACTTTTGGGTTTCCCCTCAAGAGAGAGACTTGATCGGAGGCTGCCATATCTGCATCGAAGAGTGCAAGTTGCTGCTTTGGTCTTCAACATCAACGGAGGATCCCGCGTTGTAACATGGGTGTAGGAAGGCCCTCTTAGTCAGGGGGGTGAGTCGTTATCCATCTTTGGAGGCCGGGCCTCGCAGGTAAGTGTTGTGTGACTTGGGTATGCCCATGGGTGGTTGCTTGGTGCTTCATGGCCTCTTGGGGTGTGTTGGGCTCTCTTCCTCTTCTCTGCGGTCTTGGTTGTGCGTGTGAGCATATGGATTGCTTTCTCAACTGATGGATGGTTGGATGATGTATCTTGTTCTCAATGACATATCTTTCTACAGTGCACTGTCTTTTCATTCTGAACGGCTGTAGGAGCGGGTTCTTGCTGAAAGTTGTCTTTTCCTTTTCAGTACGGTAGAGGCAGTTTGGGACTGTCTTGGGACACCTTTCTGATTGGTCCTGGTCCAGGACCTACTTGGCACCATTCGGGACTCAGTGGGACCAGGGTTAATGGGACAAGACCCTTCGGCCCCAAATCTGTTGTTGTGAGTACGTTTCTTTGTTGTGCTGAATTTGGGGGACACACGGCTAGTAGGGACATTCCTTTCAAGGGGATCTTGACTTTTCTTACTGTATGTTCTCACACACTGCCCTGCGTCTGGCTCGCTGACCGTCTGCACCCCTCAAAATCTCCATGCTGCAGTTAGTTTTCGTCGGCTTGTGACGATCTGTTTCCTGCAACCGCGCGACTTTCTGTGCAAGGCTACTTTGGGGGTTGAATCGGGATGGCCCGTTGGATTGCATGGGTGCCCTTGCTTTTCTTGTTTTTTTCGGAATTGAGGCTGGCATGGTCCCACGATGGTTGGTAGTTGATCGCGCCTTAGCGAGCGCGAAGGATAACTGTTGCCATAGCTTCTTTCTTGTTTTGCTGTGAATTTTTTTTTTTTGAATTTTCAACTAATGTCGAGCCCCCGCGGGTTCTCCCAATTTTTTTCTCTCGAAATTTCCTTTTTGCAATTAGGAATTAGGCTAGGAATTTGGGTACATCGCAATTTCATTGCACGACGCTTCTTGTTTGCGCACGCTTTGCCGCGTCAGGATTTGTGCTCTGACTTTTCCGTGCCTTAATCTTACGTGTAACTGTAATTCTTGTCTTGGCGGGCGTGATTGTAACTGTAATCCTCTCTTTCTTGATATCTTTTTGTGGCGCCTCTGCACGCGCATACTTCTCCCCCTATCCTATTGGCCTGAACGAATGCATGACCGGATCGATGTGTGCATTGTGGCTACGTCCCCAATGCCGCGGCCTGGCCATGCAGTCGTAGGCACTTCCTTCTTCTTCCCTCACACTCAGGCACAATCCCGGGTATCTCGCACAAACGCTCACGCTATAAATTTTGCAAGCGCAATTAATTCGCTCTCTATGAATTTTGGAGTTAGCGAGGTCGAGAGGATTGGCTAACGAGCAAGAGTCGGAAGGTAAGTAGAGAGCTGGGCGATCCGACAGGCTGGTGCTGGACAGGCGGGGTTGACGTGTGGTCGTGACGGACTGTGGCACATGAGCGAACCTGGCTTGCATGTTCAGGCTAAGCGGGGTGACAACTCTGTCGGAGTGTGCGGCGGCGGACTGCCCACCTCGGGATGTTGTGAAGAGAGAGAGAGAGAGAGAGAGAGAGAGAGAGAGAGAGAGAGAGAGAGAGAGAG